TTCGTGGCGGGAATGCTAGATTTTGCCACTCTATTCGTGATTTTACCCTAGAACGATACGACGAAGACGACCCATGATAAGCCGGGACCATTTAACTAATGGCATCTTTGGCCACCCCTCGGCTTGGCTAGTCTCTGAGATAACATTCATTCAGAATTTGTGTACAATACTTATGCATACGCTCAAATACTTTGCAATTTTCCTTGTGCTCACCCCCTTATGCAAAATGGTGGGTCCAGGAAGAGTGCGAGAAGCTTCATGCAAAGGTCTGCACTAACCACATAGATAACATGCCTAGGAGGGTGCGGATGGTGATCAACGCCAAGAGTAGGTGGACTAGGTACTAGAAACGTTGTTCGGAAGTTTGCTCTTTGTCCTGGGAAAAAACTGTCCGGATGTACTCGTTGTATATCTTTTGGAATATGAGTTGGATCCAATGTACTATTCTAGTTCTTAGTGCTGTGAACGCATCCACTTTGTGCCTCTCCCAACGCGTACCACCATGCATCTTGCAGGTTTACCATACAGTAGTCTTAAAGCCTAAAAACCCAACTTCGTGCCAAACATCCGGACGGTTTTTTCCCTCAGTGTACATGACCAAGCCGATGCGTCGCTCAGTGACCCCATTCCGCTTTGGGTTGTCCGGGAGAGTGTACGTCAGGGTGTTGCCCTCTACACGACAGAACTGGCCAAGCCAACCAGAGGCGAACTCGCCACCATGGTCGGAGTAGAGACACAACACAGGGAGACCGCTGTGGAGGCGCGCAGCTACAATCCACGGGATTAGAACTTCAGGCACGTCGGCCTTCCGCTCCACGGGAAATACCGTGGTGTAGCGCTTGATGTCGTCGACGAGCACAAGAAAGTAGCGCTAGCGATGCGGTCCAGGGACGGGGGCTGGGCTGCAGACGTCCAGGTGCATGGTCGGGAGGGGTCCGGTGGCAGGGCAAAGTGAGGAGGAGTGAGGAGCACGGAGCAACCAACCATCGACGAAGGGCGTGCACAGCGGCGCAGGCGAGGGAGGGAGGGCAAGAAGCGATGCAGGGAGACCAAGGGCTAGACCGTGCTGAGACATGTGACGCAGACGCGGGAGTGCAGGGTGACCTAGGCGGTGGTGCCACAGAAGCGGCGTATGAGTGGGCGACCGAGACGAGCATGCCGCAACGACCTGGGTAGACGCAGAACCCGGGGAGGACGCTCCCACTAGAGAGGAGGCAGTGTCCAGGGTAAACAGGCCATACACCTGGTCCCGAGAGAACGTCGGAAGGGGGCACCTGAGGCGACCTCGGTACAGACAGCGTACCACTCGTGACCAGGGAACGTAGTGGTGATGCCGAGGTCCTAAAGATAGCCGACACCAATAAGGTTCCTGGAGAATGAGGGGATGTGCAGGCCTGTAAGAGAATCCAAGGGGGGCGCTGGACAGGGAAGGGTAGTGGAGTTGCAAGAAACGACAGGACCAGAAGAGGGGTCAGCAAGGGCGACAGAGGCAAGGGCAACGAGCGGCATAAAAGTGGCGTGGTTGTGGAAGAAGCAGGCAGACGCACCAGAGTCGAGCTTGAAAGAGAGCGAGGCAGCAGGCGCCGACGAAGGAGGAGTAAGGGTAGAGCCTAGGCTAGACAAAGCAAATGGTTCTATGCTTGACGCAACCCTAAAATATAGGGACTGCCGCAACACCGCTCGACTGAGCGATAGTGCGCTGGCAAGTCTCTATCTCAGACAGGGCATCGAGAAAGGTAGTCAGCATGAGATCGCGTGGGTGCTGGCTAAGGAAGTGGTCTCGGGCAGGGGCTAAGCAGTCAGGCAGGCGCATGGCTATAAGCTACAGGGTAGCACAGAACGGTGGGGGGAAAGCAGTGAGCTGAGCGGCAGTGCTAGCAGCACATAGCTTGTCTCTGGTGCACGGAGGTGCATTGCGAGATCAGCGACAGTGGGGATAGCAGAGAGATCGGGGAAGAGCATGGGGAGGATCAAGCAGCCAGCTGAGGCGGAGGCAGGCGTGGAGTAGCGTGCAACTACTGCATCTAGGAAGTCTTTGGCGTTTGCTACCGCAGTGAAGTGGGGATGCTCAGATAGGGGAAGCGCATGACTAATGGCATGCTGTGCTATGGCATTGCGAGAATCCTAGAAAGCGCGAGTGGGCGTAGTAGCAGCAAAGGCCTCACTCTCAGCAGTGGTGGGGTCAGCAGGGAGGGGAGCAGGCGCGGAGGGGCGGGGGAGCAAGCCATCAACATGCATAGCCAGGGAGTGCCCATCCTGGTGCGGACCTGTCAGGTGTCGGCGAAGATCGACAAGCCAGGCGGCGAAGTCGATCGCGTGCCCCTCTGCGTCCAGGCGTAGCATGGCATTCGCCATCACGCAATCTCAGTGGCCTCGAATCACAGCGACACAGGGACACGGGTACTCAGCTGCACGGCAATGCAGCGGCGTGGCGGCACGACTCTCCAAAACAGAGACCGGGATGAAGGCCGAGAGGGGGCGCAAGAGGGCTGGTGGGCGCGTAAGGAGCCAGCGGACACGCAAGGGGCCGAGGCGCACGAGGGGCCAGCCAGGCGTGCGAGAGGCTGGGGAGGTGCGGGAGGTGCCGGTTCGTAGAGAGGGGCCGGTTCGCAGGAGGGGCCGGCTAGGCGGTAGGGGCCGGCTAGGTGAGAGGGGCCGGCTAGGCAAGAGGGACCGGCAAGGCGCGAGGGGCCGGCTAGGCGCGAGGGGCCGGCTAGGCGAGAGGGGCCCGCGAAGCGTACAGGGCCGGCGAGGCGCGAGGTGCCGGCTACGGCGCGAAGGGGCCAGCTAGGCACGAGGGGCTGGCTACGGCGCGAGGAGCTGGCTACGGCGAGAGAGGGGCCGGCTGGGCGCGAAGGGCCAGCTGTGCGCCAGGGGCCGCCGAGGCGTGAGGGGCCGGCTACGGCGCGAGGGGCCAGCTAGGTGAGAGGGGCCGGCTATGCGAGAGGGGCCGGCTATGTGTGAGGGGGCGACTAGGCGGGAGGGGCCGGCTACGGCGCGAAGGGGCCAGCTAGGCACGAGGGGCCGACTACGGCGCGAGGGGCCGGCTACGGCGTGAGGGGCCGGCTACGGCGAGAGAGGGGCCGGCTGGGTGCGAAGGGCCGGCTGGGCGCGAGAGGGGCCGGCTGGGCGCGAGAGGGCCGGCTGGGGCGCGAAGGGCCGGCTGGGGCACGAAGGGCCGGCTGGGCGCGAGGGGCCGACTAGGCGCGAGTGGGGTCGACGAGGCGCGGTAGGCTAAGGCGCGGGGCGGAAGCGGGCGGTTGGACCTAACCTATTCATGATACCATGTTAGAATACTAGAATGATTAGCAAGATGAGAGAACAAGAGAGATATAGGGTTTTGGTTGTACTCTCTAAGAACACACATCTATTCTAGCCTATAACTTTTACCTACAAATGCATGTATAAGTTGACAATTTCCTTATTACGGGTTTTAGTCAGTAAGGCGTACACTGCTATAACGGGGTTGTTGCGCAGCTTTGCCACGAAATACGAATTGCGGTACCAAATGTGGTCTCCTGACAAGCCGCATACGTTGATGCCCGCCTTGCTGTTGCATGCCTAGATCCGGGCGATCCGCGCCATTTAACTAACCACACGTCGCAGCTCTGCCGAGCCACGACCGTGTCCTCCTAGGCTAGCTATATCCATGCTCCCTGCTTTTGGATGCTCCCAATTGTATTGATTTACTCGTTAATCAATCCTTTAAGACACGCTCTTTGCGCTTCATTACAGTAATACTTCATCAGTATGATGTCATTACAGCTTATTGCACTTCATTGTCTAAACTCACTAGTGCCACTGTAATCGTAAAATAACAACTGGCAACTTTGGTGTGACGATTTCGAGTTGCACAACACGACTTTATGGTTAATCCATGTAAGGAATCACGATTCCTTACTGGGGCTCGCCACAGCGAGTACACGCGAATCTCTCGGTTCCGCACGCTCGGCCCTTGGTTCTTGCGCCAAACCAGTCCCCATCGACCTTTTCGGCCCCAACCCGATCCCGAGTCTCCCCGAACCCATTTTGACCCCGTCACCCCCGGGACTATTGAGCCATTGACTGGTCCAGCCCTCGACACTCAACCCTGGTCAACACACCTATATACTGCCTAGGCCTCACTATTCGGTACAACATTGTAATCACGTTCCCCTATAGTATTCTGCGCTATACTCAGTTGTAAGGAATTCCGATTCTTTACTGGGACTCGCCACAGCGAGTACTGCGAACAGTGCGGGTCCGCAGGCTCGGCCCTGGTTTATCGCGCCAAACCAGCCCTTGACGACCTTTTCGGCCCCAACCTGACCCCGAGTCGCCCCGAACCCGTTTTGACCCCGTCACCCTCGGGACTACCTAGCCCTCGACTGGTCCAAACCTCGACATTTCGACCTGTTCAACTCGCACTATATAAGCCCTAGGTCTCATTATTCAAGAGGATTCTGTAATCACGTTCCCTTATAGTATTCTGTGCTATACTCTGAGTTATAATTCATAACATCAGTTATAATTCATAACATTCCAGCTAGAAAGGGTAACACCTATGCCGTCGTAGTCAGCAATTGGTAGAAAATCGTGTGGGCGTTGAAACGCCACGTAGGCTAGCGGACCAGCTTAGGCGGAAAGGGAAGCCTCTTGTGGAGCTTCGGTCTGGTAGAAGAAGATTTGGCTGCCGCTGCCCCACGACTCACGGGTAACGACTCACGAATCCGCCTTTACAGTCACAGGTGAGTCGAGGGCCAACCAGGTAACGCCCCCCACCAGCTCAGCTCATCCCATTCCTCCCACTCTCCCCCTCTTCCACCCTCCCCACCCCCCGCGCCCACACACTCCCCCCCCAACCCCCACCCCCTCTCCCCCCCAATCTCCCCGCAAACCTAACCACCACCACAACCACCATTGATCTGCCTGCCATGCCGCGCATGTGACGGGACGGGCCGGGATGGGACAGAGTGATGGGATGGGATGGGACGGACACTGGACTACCCATGCCGTTCCACTCCAGCCTCCAACGCGCCGCTTGCTTCCTCCTATTTCTTTTTTTATTTCACGGCAGACACGGCAGACTCGGACGTAGTACCGAAATACTACAAGCATCTGCTCTCCAGACCACCGTCCCCTACCCAGGGCTGGAGCCTGGCAGTATTCCTCTCCCGTCCGACCTTGCGGCACGAAGTGACGTGAATACTCGAGCGGCAGCAGCTCAACGCCGTTCTGACGCTAGAACCGTCCGCTGCATTTACGAACGCGGCGCCTTACTGGTTGCATCCCCTCACCGCCTCTCCTCCAATGGAGGCGTCGTGCCTAGCGAACAGGGGTTGCGTCGCGTTAACGTACGAACCCTATCGTCGTGTAGACGGATCGCCACCCTACCTTTCCCGTTCCCTACGAGGAGGCTGCAAACCCCTCTGCGTTCTCCGTGCCGCGCGCCACGATGGTGGAAAGCGCGCGACGCCCCCAACCCGCGACACCCCCGCGGCGGGCGCGGCAGGGCGGCACTCCGCAAAGCAGCCTTCCGCGCCCGCGAAGATCTCCTGGGGAAGACCGAGACCCGGCGGAGCTGGCGGAACAAGGCGGCGCAGCAGCAGCAGCGCCAGTGGTGGCGGAAGCCGGGCGGCTAGTCCGAGCCGCAGCAAGGTGGACATTCCCGAGGGGGGCGTATTCAGCGTTGACGACGAGGACGACGAGGACAGCGTCTTTCACGCCGTCGTCATCCCCCGCCCGCGCGCTACGCTCGACACTCTCCATCTCGCCGCCTCTACCGCCGCAACTACCGCTGGTGCCAGCGCCGCCGTCCCTTCCCCCGCATCCCCTTCGTTGGCGCAACCGCCAGGTCTCGACTCCTCGGCGCGTGCTCCCCCTCCCCCGCCGCCGCCGCCGCCGCCGCCGCCGCCGCCGCCGCCGCCGCCGCCGCCGCCGCCGTCAGCTACGTCAGCCACGACTGTCGCTGCAGGTCATTCCCGAGGCACTGTGAGTAAGAAGAAGAGCCGCCTGGCGAAAGGCAAGGGTTCCGCTGCCGGAGGCGGCGGGGGCGGCGGGGGGTGCGGAGGCGGCTTTAGCGATCGGCCGGTGATTGAGGAGATTAAGAAGGTAGTGTCAGGCGACGAGCCGCACTACCGCCATAGCCCGCAGGAGTACGAGATCTGGCATATCGACGATGACGGGAATAAGGTGAACGGGCGGGGCGTGGCGGACGGCGGGCAGGCTGTTAACGGGCAGACTAGAAGGTCGACGCCGTTTGTTGATCAGGTGGTTCCCGGGCAGGTGAACGGGCAGGTGGTTAATGGTCGCCGGCTCAGCGATGCTGTTCCGGGCTCGGCGGGGGCAGCCGGCAGCAGCAGCAGCAGCAGCAGCTCGGGTGGCGCCGCGACTGCTGCCTCAGAGGACAACGACGCGACTATCGGCAGCCGCAGCAGCAGCAGCAGCGGCGCGAGAGGTAGCAGTGTGAATGCCACCAGCAGCACCAGCAGCACCAGCAGCACCAGCACCAGCACCACCACTAGCACGAGAAGCAGCGGTCGCGACGGCGCGGACGAGCGTGGTGGCGGTGGTGGTGGCGGGTCGGCAGCGTTGGGGCGGACGTGGTGGGAGACGGCGTCGGCTGCGGCGACACGACCCGCGCTGCAGCAGGAGCTGATGACGCTCGCCAAGGAACCTGTGTACCAGGTGCGGGGTGGGCGGGGGAGCTGGGGGATGGGTGGGTGGGAGGAGGGGGAGTGGGGGAAGTTGGGGGGGTTGGGGGGAGTTAGGTGGTGGTTGGTGATGGGAGGGTGGTTGGTTGGTGGGCTGGTGTGTTGGGTTGGGTGTGAGTCTGCTGATGTCAGTATACGAGGTGCAGCAGGCTGTGAACTGCAAACGGCTGCTGCTTTGTTGTTGCTGGTGTTGTCTGTAAGCCGTGCAGGTCGTAGGGGTGTGATATTGAGTGCTGCTTTCCCGGTTCTGCCATGCTCGGCTGACCTGTGACCTGACCTGTGACCTGACCTGTCTAACCCGACCCGACCCATGCCTGTGGCGTCATACTGATGCTATGGCTTTGCCTGCCAATGTTCGGCATTGTGGCATTGCATCATTGCATGGCATGGCATGGCAGGTGTTGGAGGTGAACGGGCGTGGTGATGTGTGGCAGAGGGAAGTCAGCCGGCGACAGCTGCTCAAGCTGAGCGGTGCGTTCAGCTTGTCCAAGGACCTACCAGTGCCCACAATCTCGCTTCCCCGCCGGACCTACCCACACCAGCACACCAGCTTGGCCTGTCGTTTCGCTTGCGTCGTGACATTTCTGTCTATCCTTGCTTGCTCTCCCTCATCCGTCGCATTGTGCCACCCATGTGCTAAACACCATACACCATCCACCCCACACACCATGCACCATACACCCAACATCATGCACCATACACCATGCACCAAAAGCCATACTCCAAACACCATACACCATACACCATACTCCAAACACCATACACCATACACATACACCAAACACCCAACACCGTACACCATGCGTGGTGCACCGCCCGCCTCCCAGGTCTGACCCAGCGTGATGTGCGGCGCATCGACCCCTCGCTGTGGGTCACCAACTCCATGCCTGCCATTCTCGTACGTGCTCCCTCGCCCCGCCCCCTCTCTCCACCCTCCCACCTCATCCCGCCCCCCCTACCCCCCCCAACTCCCGTCCTCCTCTCGCATCCCTAAGGTGGAAAATCTCGGTAATGCTTGGAGGGCATCATGACTCCTGTCGCCCTCTTCTGCTCCTAGCCCTCTCATCTTAGCGTTCCTTTCCCCTACACTTGCTGCCCACATCTCTGTTCCCCCCCCCCGCTCGTTGAATGCTGTGCCTTCCATACGCGTTGCACACACCACCTTCACACCCGCTCCTCTTCTTCCCCCCGCCCATCCCCCCCGTCCTTTCACCACCACCCCACCTCCTCTTTCTCCTCTTCCCCCCTCCCCCACCCCCCTTCCACTCCTTCCGTACTCTCCCCTCACCCGTGCGCCCTTGCGCCAATTGCCCCCCCCTGTGTGCCCCACCCCCAGGTGCGGGACAGCGCCATTCTGCTCAACCTGGGGTCGCTGCGGGCCATCTCCACTGCGGAGACTGTGCTCATATTCGACTACAACAGGTGCCGTGCTCACTCTGCTTCATTTCGCTTCTCCCCTCTCCCCCCCCTCTCCCTTTCCCCCCTCACCCCCGCCCCTCGCCGTCTCCCCTCACCTCTCATTTGGTCATCATTCATTCATTCATTCATTCATTCATTCATGCTCGTTTCCTTTCGTTCCATCTTCCACTCGCTCCCGTCTCCCATGCCCCTGCTCCCCCCCCTCCCCCTCCTTCCCCCTCCCCGCCCCCCTCTCCCTCCCCACTTGCGCCACCCCTTGCTTTGAGGCGCCTCAAAATGCCCCTCCTCCCCCACCCCTCCTTCTATCCCCCCGTGGCAGTGTGGGGACGCAGTCGTTCGTGGAGGTACAGCTGAAGCGCCGTGCGAGGTGTCTTTTGAGTCAACTCAAATGTCTCCCTCCCCTCCCCCCCCCCCCATCCCTATCCCCATCCCCCTGTGGCAGTGTGGGGGCGCAGTCGTTCGTGGAGGTGCTGCTGGAGCGCCTGCGCCTCGATGCCGACGTCTCCATTAGTGGCGGCCCTGCCGTGCCATTCGAACTCGAGGTCAGTCCCTGCCTCACTTGCCTCCCTTGCCTCCCTTGCCTCTCCTGCCTCTCCTGCCTCTCCTGCCTCTCCTGCCTCGCTTGCCACCTCTCTCCTGGGCACCACCAGCCCTCCCTGTCTCTCTCCCTCCTGCAACCTGTCTTACCCTGTGAACCCCCCTATCTCTCCCAGTTTCCCCTTTTACTCCGTTTGTCCCCTTCTGCCCCACCCACCCTCCCTCCCACCCAACCACCCACCCACCCACCCATCCACCCACCCTCCCTCCCTTGCTCACTTTCCCTCTCTCCTGTTTCCCTCTCTCCTGTTTCCCTCTCTCCTGTTTCCCTCCCTCTCTCCTGTTTCCCTCCCTCTCCTGTTTCCCTCTCTCCTGTTTCCCTCTCTCCTGTTTCCCTCTCTCCTGTTTCCCTCTCTCCTGTTTCCCTCTCTCCTGTTTCCCTCCCTCTCTCCTGTTTCCCTCTCTCCTGTTTCCCTCTCTCCTGTTTCCCTCTCTCCTGTTTCCCTCTCTCCTGTTTCCCTCTCGCCTGTTTCCCTCCCTCTCTCCTGCTTCCCTCCCTCTCTCCTGTTTCCCTCTCTCCCGTTTCCCTCCCTCTCTCCTGTTTCCCTCTCTCCTGTTTCCCTCTCTCCTGTTTCCCTCTCTCCTGTTTCCCTCCCTCTCTCCTGCTTCCCTCTCTCCTGTTTCCCTCCCTCTCTCCTGTTTCCCTCTCTCCTGTTTCCCTCTCTCCTGTTTCCCTCTCTCCTGTTTCCCTCTCTCCTGTTTCCCTCTCGCCTGTTTCCCTCTCTCCTGTTTCCCTCTCTCCTGTTTCCCTCTCTCCTGTTTCCCTCTCTCCTGTTTCCCTCTCGCCTGTTTCCCTCCCTCTCTCCTGTTTCCCTCCCTCTCTCCTGTTTCCCTCTCTCCTGTTTCCCTCCCTCTCTCCTGTTTCCCTCCCTCTCTCCTGCTTCCCTCTCTCCTGTTTCCCTCCCTCTCTCCTGTTTCCCTCTCTCCTGTTTCCCTCTCTCCTGTTTCCCTCTCTCCTGTTTCCCTCTCTCCTGTTTCCCTCTCGCCTGTTTCCCTCTCTCCTGTTTCCCTCTCTCCTGTTTCCCTCTCTCCTGTTTCCCTCTCTCCTGTTTCCCTCTCGCCTGTTTCCCTCCCTCTCTCCTGTTTTCCCTCCCTTCTCTCCTGTTTCCCTCCCTCTCTCCTGTTTCCCTCTCTCCTGTTTCCCTCTCTCCTGTTTCCCTCTCTCCTGTTTCCCTCTCTCCTGTTTCCCTCTCGCCTGTTTCCCTCCCTCTCTCCTGTTTCCCTCCCTCTCTCCTGCTTCCCTCTCTCCTGTTTCCCTCTCTCCTGTTTCCCTCTCTCCTGTTTCCCTCCCTCTCTCCTGTTTCCCTCTCTCCTGTTTCCCTCTCTCCTGTTTCCCTCTCTCCTGTTTCCCTCTCGCCTGTTTCCCTCTCTCCTGTTTCCCTCTCTCCTGTTTCCCTCTCTCCTGTTTCCCTCTCTCCTGTTTCCCTCTCTCCTGTTTCCCTCTCGCCTGTTTCCCTCCCTCTCTCCTGTTTCCCTCCCTCTCTCCTGTTTCCCTCTCTCCTGTTTCCCTCTCTCCTGTTTCCCTCTCTCCTGTTTCCCTCTCTCCTGTTTCCCTCTCTCCTGTTTCCCTCTCTCCTGTTTCCCTCTCGCCTGTTTCCCTCTCTCCTGTTTCCCTCTCTCCTGTTTCCCTCTCTCCTGTTTCCCTCTCTCCTGTTTCCCTCTCTCCTGTTTCCCTTTCTCCTGTTTCCCTCTCTCCTGTTTCCCTCTCTCCTGTTTCCCTCTCTCCTGTTTCCCTCTCTCCTGTTTCCCTCTCTCCTGTTTCCCTCTCTCCTGTTTCCCTCTCTCCTGTTTCCCTCTCTCCTGTTTCCCTCTCTCCTGTTTCCCTCTCTCCTGTTTCCCTCTCTCCTGTTTCCCTCTCTCCTGTTTCCCTCTCTCCTGTTTCCCTCTCTCCTGTTTCCCTCTCTCCTGTTTCCCTCTCTCCTGTTTCCCTCTCTCCTGTTTCCCTCTCTCCTGTTTCCCTCTCTCCTGTTTCCCTCTCGCCTGTTTCCCTCTCTCCTGTTTCCCTCTCTCCTGTTTCCCTCTCTCCTGTTTCCCTCTCTCCTGTTTCCCTCTCTCCTGTTTCCCTCTCTCCTGTTTCCCTCTCTCCTGTTTCCCTCTCTCCCTGTTTCCCTCTCTCCTCCCTCTCCTGTTTCCCTCTCTCCTGTTTCCCTCCCTCTCTCCTGTTTCCCTCTCTCCTGTTTCCCTCCCTCTCTCCTGTTTCCTCACTCCTGTTTCCCTCCCTCTCTCCTGTTTCCCTCTCTCCTGTTTCCCTCTCTCCTGTTTCCCTCCCTCTCTCCTGTTTCCCTCTCTCCTGTTTCCCTCTCTCCTGTTTCCCTCTCTCCTGTTTCCCTCCCTCTCTCCTGTTTCCCTCTCTCCTGTTTCCCTCTCTCCTGTTTCCCTCTCTCCTGTTTCCCTCTCGCCTGTTTCCCTCTCTCCTGTTTCCCTCTCTCCTGTTTCCCTCTCTCCTGTTTCCCTCTCTCCTGTTTCCCTCTCTCCTGTTTCCCTCTCGCCTGTTTCCCTCCCTCTCTCCTGTTTCCCTCCCTCTCTCCTGTTTCCCTCTCTCCTGTTTCCCTCCCTCTCTCCTGTTTCCCTCTCTCCTGTTTCCCTCTCTCCTGTTTCCCTCTCTCCTGTTTCCCTCTCTCCTGTTTCCCTCTCTCCTGTTTCCCTCTCGCCTGTTTCCCTCTCTCCTGTTTCCCTCTCTCCTGTTTCCCTCTCTCCTGTTTCCCTCTCGCCTGTTTCCCTCCCTCTCTCCTGTTTCCCTCCCTCTCTCCTGTTTCCCTCTCTCCTGTTTCCCTCCCTCTCTCCTGTTTCCCTCTCTCCTGTTTCCCTCTCTCCTGTTTCCCTCTCTCCTGTTTCCCTCTCGCCTGTTTCCCTCTCTCCTGTTTCCCTCTCTCCTGTTTCCCTCTCTCCTGTTTCCCTCTCTCCTGTTTCCCTCTCTCCTGTTTCCCTTTCTCCTGTTTCCCTCTCTCCTGTTTCCCTCTCTCCTGTTTCCCTCTCTCCTGTTTCCCTCTCTCCTGTTTCCCTCTCTCCTGTTTCCCTCTCTCCTGTTTCCCTCTCTCCTGTTTCCCTCTCTCCTGTTTCCCTCTCTCCCGTTTCCCTCCCTCTCTCCTGTTTCCCTCTCTCCTGTTTCCCTCTCTCCTGTTTCCCTCTCTCCTGTTTCCCTCTCTCCTGTTTCCCTCTCTCCTGTTTCTCTCTCTCCCGTTTCCCTCCCTCTCTCCTGTTTCCCTCTCTCCTGTTTCCCTCCCTCTCTCCTGTTTCCCTCTCTCCTGTTTCCCTCCCTCTCTCCTGTTTCCCTCACTCCTGTTTCCCTCCCTCTCTCCTGTTTCCCTCTCTCCTGTTTCCCTCCCTCTCTCCTGTTTCCCTCTCTCCTGTTTCCCTCCCTCTCTCCTGTTTCCCTCTCTCCTGTTTCCCTCCCTCTCTCCTGTTTCCCTCACTCCTGTTTCCCTCCCTCTCTCCTGTTTCCCTCTCTCCTGTTTCCCTCTCTCCTGTTTCCCTCCCTCTCTCCTGTTTCCCTCTCTCCTGTTTCCCTCTCTCCTGTTTCCCTCTCTCCTGTTTCCCTCCCTCTCTCCTGTTTCCCTCTCTCCTGTTTCCCTCCCTCTCTCCTGTTTCCCTCTCTCCTGTTTCCCTCTCTCCTGTTTCCCTCTCTCCTGTTTCCCTCTCTCCTGTTTCCCTCTCTCCTGTTTCCCTCTCTCCCGTTTCCCTCCCTCTCTCCTGTTTCCCTCTCTCCTGTTTCCCTCCCTCTCTCCTGTTTCCCTCTCTCCTGTTTCCCTCCCTCTCTCCTGTTTCCCTCACTCCTGTTTCCCTCCCTCTCTCCTGTTTCCCTCTCTCCTGTTTCCCTCTCTCCTGTTTCCCTCCCTCTCTCCTGTTTCCCTCTCTCCTGTTTCCCTCTCTCCTGTTTCCCTCTCTCCTGTTTCCCTCTCTCCTGTTTCCCTCCCTCTCTCCTGTTTCCCTCTCTCCTGTTTCCCTCCCTCTCTCCTGTTTCCCTCTCTCCTGTTTCCCTCTCTCCTGTTTCCCTCTCGCCTGTTTCCCTCCCTCTCTCCTGTTTCCCTCCCTCTCTCCTGTTTCCCTCTCTCCTGTTTCCCTCTCTCCTGTTTCCCTCTCTCCTGTTTCCCTCTCTCCTGTTTCCCTCTCTCCTGTTTCCCTCTCTCCTGTTTCCCTCTCGCCTGTTTCCCTCCCTCTCTCCTGTTTCCCTCCCTCTCTCCTGCTTCCCTCTCTCCTGTTTCCCTCTCTCCTGTTTCCCTCTCTCCTGTTTCCCTCCCTCTCTCCTGTTTCCCTCTCTCCTGTTTCCCTCTCTCCTGTTTCCCTCTCTCCTGTTTCCCTCTCGCCTGTTTCCCTCTCTCCTGTTTCCCTCTCTCCTGTTTCCCTCTCTCCTGTTTCCCTCTCTCCTGTTTCCCTCTCTCCTGTTTCCCTCTCTCCTGTTTCCCTCTCTCCTGTTTCCGTCTCGCCTGTTTCCCTCTCTCCTGTTTCCCTCTCTCCTGTTTCCCTCTCTCCTGTTTCCCTCTCTCCTGTTTCCCTCTCTCCTGTTTCCCTCTCTCCTGTTTCCCTCTCTCCCGTTTCCCTCCCTCTTTCCTGTTTCCCTCTCTCCTGTTTCCCTCCCTCTCTCCTGTTTCCCTCTCTCCTGTTTCCCTCCCTCTCTCCTGTTTCCCTCACTCCTGTTTCCCTCCCTCTCTCCTGTTTCCCTCTCTCCTGTTTCCCTCTCTCCTGTTTCCCTCCCTCTCTCCTGTTTCCCTCTCTCCTGTTTCCCTCTCTCCTGTTTCCCTCTCTCCTGTTTCCCTCTCGCCTGTTTCCCTCTCTCCTGTTTCCCTCTCTCCTGTTTCCCTCTCTCCTGTTTCCCTCTCTCCTGTTTCCCTCTCTCCTGTTTCCCTCTCGCCCGTTTCCCTCCCTCTCTCCTGTTTCCCTCCCTCTCTCCTGTTTCCCTCTCTCCTGTTTCCCTCCCTCTCTCCTGTTTCCCTCTCGCCTGTTTCCCTCTCTCCTGTTTCCCTCTCTCCTGTTTCCCTCTCTCCTGTTTCCCTCTCTCCTGTTTCCCTCTCTCCTGTTTCCCTCTCTCCCGTTTCCCTCCCTCTCTCCTGTTTCCCTCTCTCCTGTTTCCCTCTCTCCTGTTTCCCTCCCTCTCTCCTGTTTCCCTCTCTCCTGTTTCCCTCCCTCTCTCCTGTTTCCCTCACTCCTGTTTCCCTCCCTCTCTCCTGTTTCCCTCTCTCCTGTTTCCCTCTCTCCTGTTTCCCTCCCTCTCTCCTGTTTCCCTCTCTCCTGTTTCCCTCCCTCTCTCCTGTTTCCCTCTCTCCTGTTTCCCTCCCTCTCTCCTGTTTCCCTCACTCCTGTTTCCCTCCCTCTCTCCTGTTTCCCTTTCTCCTGTTTCCCTCTCTCCTGTTTCCCTCCCTCTCTCCTGTTTCCCTCTCTCCTGTTTCCCTCTCTCCTGTTTCCCTCTCTCCTGTTTCCCTCTCTCCTGTTTCCCTCCCTCTCTCCTGTTTCCCTCTCTCCTGTTTCCCTCCCTCTCTCCTGTTTCCCTCTCTCCTGTTTCCCTCTCTCCTGTTTCCCTCTCTCCTGTTTCCCTCTCTCCTGTTTCCCTCTCTCCTGTTTCCCTCTCTCCTGTTTCCCTCTCTCCCGTTTCCCTCCCTCTCTCCTGTTTCCCTCCCTCTCTCCTGTTTCCCTCTCTCCTGTTTCCCTCTCTCCTGTTTCCCTCCCTCTCTCCTGTTTCCCTCACTCCTGTTTCCCTCCCTCTCTCCTGTTTCCCTCTCTCCTGTTTCCCTCTCTCCTGTTTCCCTCCCTCTCTCCTGTTTCCCTCTCTCCTGTTTCCCTCTCTCCTGTTTCCCTCTCTCCTGTTTCCCTCTCTCCTGTTTCCCTCTCTCCTGTTTCCCTCCCTCTCTCCTGTTTCCCTCTCGCCTGTTTCCCTCCCTCTCTCCTGCTTCCCTCCCTCTCTCCTGTTTCCCTCTCTCCCGTTTCCCTCCCTCTCTCCTGTTTCCCTCTCTCCTGTTTCCCTCTCTCCTGTTTCCCTCTCTCCTGTTTCCCTCTCTCCTGTTTCCCTCTCTCCTGTTTCCCTCTCTCCTGTTTCCCTCTCTCCTGTTTCCCTCTCGCCTGTTTCCCTCTCTCCTGTTTCCCTCTCTCCTGTTTCCCTCTCTCCTGTTTCCCTCTCTCCTGTTTCCCTCTCTCCTGTTTCCCTCGCACCCACCCTCCTCCCGCCCCCTTTCCCCCCACCCCATGTGGTGGAGTCCGCCCTCATCTCACGCACACAGCACCAGGTCTCTTCCCCCCTTACTCACTCCCTCCCCCTTCTCCCTCCTCTCCCCCCCCTCCCCCCCCAGGTAGTGGAGTCCGCCCTCATCTCGCGCACGCAGCGCCTAGAAAGCGCCCTGATGGACATCGAGCCCCGGGTTCTCTCCCTCCTCGAGGTCCTTCCCATCCGCCTGACCGCCGACAACTTAGAGGAGCTGCGGTTGAGCAAGCAGGCGCTAGTGGAGCTGGGGTCGAAGGCGGGCGCCCTGAGGCAGATGCTGCTGGAGCTGTTGGAGCACACCAATGAGCTGAGGCGCATCACGGCTATCGACAGGCAATGCCGGGTGAACAAGGACGGGGCGTTCGAGTGCCTCACTGCTGCTGACACTCTGCTTGCTGAAGGTGGGTGGGGAGGGAGGGAGGGCTGGGGGGGGGGGGGGGGGGGGGGGTTTGCGGTGGTGGGGTGCAGAGGGGGGTTGAAAGGGCGTGGAAGAAGTTTGGAAGTGGGGGGAATGTGGTCTGCACTCCCTTGGTTTTCTGCTGCCTGCCTGTTGTCTGCTGGAGCTGTTGGAGCACACGAACGAGCTGCGGTGCATCACGGCTATAGATAGGGAGTGCCAGGCTAACAAGGACGGGGCGATCGAGTCCCCCACAGCGGCTGACCCTCTGCCCGCTGAAGGTGGGGGGAGGAGGAGAGGGATTCCTTGGATGGGGGAGGTGTTTTTGTGTGTGTGTGTGGGGGGGGGGGGGGGGATTTTAGGGGGGTTTTGCGTATGAGGGGTTGTGGTAAGCACTCTTGCGGTGCCTCCTGTGGTCCATTCCCTTGGTTGGTTGTCTGCTGCCTGTCTCGTGTCCGCTGGAGTTGCTGGAGCACTGCTTGTGTCGCCCCTCCCCCCCCCTCCACCCCAGTCCCCTCTCTGCTACCTGTCTCTATCTCCCTTGCAAAACACTCTCCTCACCTCTCTTTCCCATTCCTCCCCCCCATCCCTCCCCTCTGTCCCTCCCCTCGCTCCCCTCTTGCCCCCATCTCTTTCTCTGCCCATCGCGCTGGGGTGCGGCAGAGGAGGAGCAGGAGATCGAGATGGTGTTTGAGTACTACCTACAGCGGTGCGAGTCGTGCCACGGGCAGTCGGAGAAGCTGCTCGACTCCGCCAAGGAGATGGAGGACTCCATCGCCGTCAACCTCAGGTGCCCCACCTTTTCCTGCCCCGCCCTGCCATGCCATGCGCATGTGCTGCCATGCCCTGCCCTGCCATGCCATGCCATGCCATGCGCATGCGCTGCCATGCCCTGCCCTGCCATGCCATGCCATGCGCATGCGCTGCTATGCCCTGCCCTGTCTCGCCATGCCATGCCCTTCTGGGGCGACTTTTGAGCATTGCCAGTGCTGTCAAGCGTCAAACGTGCGAATCAGTCAACCCATCGTGCGTCGTCTCAGAGACGCGCGTGTCCACCACCCTCCATCCAAGCGCATGCCTGCATCTACTCACTTCACATCCCACGTGCCTCCCCACTCAACCACCCTCGCCACCCACCCACCCTTGCCCTTGTCTCCCTCCCACCATCTCCTGCCATCCTCTCCCTTCCCTTCGTCCCCCTCCTCTCCCCATGTCCTCTCAACCTGCTCCGCTTCCACATAACCCCCCCACCCCCCCACCCCTTGTCGTTCCTCTCCCCTGCACCAGTTCGCGGCGTCTGGAGGTGGGGCGCTTGGAGCTGCTGCTGCAGGTTGGCACCTTCGCTGCGGCGCTGGGGGCGTTGATAGCAGGTGAGGGGCGCTCATAGCAGGTGAGGGGCGCTCATAGCAGGTGAGGGGCGCTCATAGCAGGTGAGGGGGTGAGGAGGAGGGAGTATGCTCCTAAAGATTCAACTGCCTCTGTAAATTTCTGTTGACCATTCCTGCCACTACCACTGCACCACGTGCCTAGGGTCAGCCTGCGCCTCATACCACCACCGTCCTGTCACACCTGCCTGCCTGGGGTCATCCTATCATCCTGCCATCCTGTCATCCTGCCATCCTGTCATGCTGCCAACCTGCCAACCATGGTCACCTACGAGCGTCCTCTGTCCTGCGCCCACTCCTCGTCACTACTCCTTGCCTTCCCTTGCACCTGCACCGAATGCACACTACCCTCCCCTGCCACAGCACACCTCAACCTGCCACCCATACCCACTATCATGCCCACTCCTGCCCCTTCCCCCAACCCCTTCCGTTTCACTTTTCCTCACCCCTTTACCCCTGCCTGTTCCCGTGTCTCTGTATCCCCCTGTCCCTGTCCCTGTCCCTGTCCCCGCCCCCTGCCCTCAGGCATCTTTGGCATGAACCTGCGCAATCGCCTGGAGGAGAGTGCGGTAAGCCTCTTCCTCCTCGCACCTTGCCTGCACTCGCTGCTGCTGCCGCACTAGTGTAGCTTGGCACGTCAGTGAACATGATGGGTTGTGCAGTTTGGTGAGTGGCACCAAGGATGGAATGAAGGGGAGGAGAGAGAGGGGCAGTGTGTATCCAAATACCTCCACACCACACAGTGGCGGTCCCCCCTCAACTCCACTCTTCCGTGTCTTTCCTCTCAAAGTGTTCCTTGTCTCTCTCCACCCTCTCCTTCTCACTCTACTCTCTAGTGCCCTCTCCTCTGCTCTCTTCCATGTGTGACCTATGATTCCACACTGACCATTGCTTTACCGCCCCTTGTTTCTCTCTTCCTCCACTCCCCATTCCCCCTCCCCCTCCCCCCCCCCCCCCCCCCCTTCCTCCTCACCTTCTCCCCAATCCCAACATCCCACTGGCATGCCCCTCCTGAGCGCAGCTTGCCTTCTGGACGGCAACATTCGGCATAGTCTTCGGGGGAGTGCTGCTGTTCCTCGCCATGCTCGCATACCTCAAGCACCGCCGCATCCTCTGATCATCACCCGCCTGCCCTCCACCCTCCTCTACTGCACCCCATGCTTCACTCTGCACAAGCCTGCCAGGCTAATGCCCGGCCTATTGCCCAGCTTGTTGCCTGGCTTGTTGCCTGGCTTGTTGCCTGGCTTGTTGCCTGGCTTATTGCTCGGCTTTGCCTTGCGGCAGCACTCCTGTCCCGTCCCGCTTGTCAAGGCATGAGTGTGCTCGCTTGGGCTGGCCTTGCTGCTAGTGCGTCTCTCTGCTCTGCTCTGCTCTGCTCTGCACCCTGCCCACCCTGTCCATGCCTCGACCTGTCACTGCTGCGAGTAGTAATCAGGTGATAGTGATCAGATGGCGCTCCCCTGCCCCACCACCACCATCTCCATCACCTGTGCTGTGTGCCACAACATGTTTTCAAGACAGTACCATGCTTGCTTGTTGTCTAGGTGGCTTGCTTTCTGTGTGCGAGTGCTCTTGTGGCCTCTTTGTATAGTGAAATATAATATATGAAAGCCATCGCCTATGGCGTAGTGTCAGCCTTGCTGAGTTGAATTTGGTGGGATGCATTTCCTACTTGGTGTTTCATGAGATGAAGATAGGCTCTAAGTTATATCAGATAAACAAACGAGCAACTACTTCAATGTGCAGCAAACGTTGTGCTGTGTGGCGCATTTGTTCCTACACCAGTCACACCAGCCTACACATACACCCGCTGTACAGGTGCTGCAGCCGCAGCAGCAGCAGCAGTGCCAATGCCAATGCTAGAAGACACATCTCGTTGCATCCTAGCTTTAGAGCTCGAGCTCGGTCGTTTGCTGCTGAAACCAACCTGTTTGCCGCCGCCGCTGCTGCTGCTGCTGTCAGTGGTCCGGGTGTTCTCCTTCCTCGCTCCCACCTTGTGCCCATTGCTCTTGCCGTTGCTGCTGGTGCTGCACGTATTGCTGCCATCCCTCACTGGAGCCAAACCGTGAGATCGGGTTACATTAGCAGCAGCAGCAGAAGAGGAACCACCAGCAGCAGCAGCAGCAGCAGCAGGAGAAAATGAGGAACCAGCAGTTGCAGCAGCAGCAGCCGCCTTGGGCCTCTCCTCGTCCTGCCCAGCACTCTGCCCTGCACTCTGCCCTGTGCTGTGTCGCTTGAGGCTGTGCGCCATGAGTGCATCACCTCTCCTCTGCGCCCATCCCATGCTCGTTGCACCGCTCCCTCCTCCTGCACCCTCTCGGTGCTCATGGGGCGGCAATGTTGCCAACCCTGAACCTGCAACACTGCTAGTTGTCACGCCAACACTAGTTCCGGAACGTTTGCCACTACCACCAGCAACCGTCCCACCAGCAGCACCACCAGCAGCAGGAAAACCAGTAGCACGGATTTGCTCTGGCGATGTTGCAGTGACGACGGTGGTCAGTCGGCTGCGGTTGGTGGGAGTGGCGGCAGCAGTGGCAGCGGGGGCAGCGGTGGTGGCGGAGGGGGTGGTGCCAGGGGTGGAGGAGGAGCGTGGGTACATGGCGCGATAGTGAGTCCTCCCTGCTGCTCCTGCCACTGCTGCTGCTGCTGATGCTGATGCAGCAGGGGTGATTGGGGAACGCATGCCGTTGGCAGCAGCAGTGGCAGCACCGCCAGCAGTGGCAGCAGGCGAGGCAGAGGGAGAGGGTTCACCAGCAGAGGCGGACGAGGAGCGAGGGAAGCACGTGAGCGCCATTCGTGGGCTGGGGACGGACGGCGATGCGAGCGGGTCCACGTGCAATGAACCTGCCTTGCTGCCGCTGCTGCCGCTGCTGCCAATGCTGTCGCTTCTGCGGCGGTTAGTGCCAGTGCCACTGCCAGTGGCAGTGCTGAGAGCAGTGGGCGAGGGGCGTGAGGGTTGAGTAGCAGAGGCTGCTGCTCTGGCGGAGGGAGAAGGGGAGTGGTGCGCGTGCTGGTGGTGGACGGACGAGAGCATGTGCGCGTGAGGCTGGGGAGGGGAGGATGAGAGGGGAGACGCGCGGTGAGCATTGGAAGTGCCACCACCACCACAACCACCCCCTGCTGCTGCTGCTTTAATGCCCATGGGCAGAGTGGAGGAAGACCGGTCCACTGGAGTGGCAGCAGCAGCAGCACTTGCGCCCATTCCCGCGCCCTCCTTGCTGCTACTTGGCCCTTTTGGCGCCTGGCCCCACACTCGCGCGGACGCTGTGCGCCGCGCTGCCCTCTCCGCGGATTGGGGTCGCGGATTGGGGTGCTGTTGCCGCGCAAGGGGTGCGGAGGCGGGCGCAAAGGGGGAGGGCACGGGCGCAGCCAGGGGAATGTCGTCGTCAGGGGCGGAGGGGAGCAGCACAGGCGGAGGGCGGCGATAAGGGGCGCCTCCCGCGGGCTTGGGGGAGGTGGCGGGGCGGACAGGTGCGGGAGCGGGGGCGGGGGCGGGGATGCTGCCCCTGGTAGTCAGGGGGAGGGGGCGAAGCGGGATTTCCACAGGCACGGACTGACAGCGATGCAGCACACGCGGACGCGCCCGCGCTGCTGCTTGCTGCCCCTGCCCCTGCCCTTGCACCCGCACCTGCATCTGCTGCTGCTGCTGCTGTTGTTGCTGCTGCTGCTGCTGCTGTTGCCCCCCAGCATGCGACGCGGGGATCGACTGCATCAAGGAGTGTGGCATGGCGGCCTGCAGCGTCGGCACGGCACACCATAGCGTACCACCGCTACCATTAATAGCCGCGGCGCCGACGGGCGTGGCGGTGGCGGCGAGCGCCGCTACGACGAATCCCGCGGCAGCAGGGTATGGCGCGTGCTCCGTGGGACTATCCACCACCTCACCCATCAGCACCGCACCATCATCATCATCATCATCATCATCATCATCATCATCATCATCATCATCATCATCATCATCATCCTCATCATGCTCGACTTCTCCCGCATGAGCCCTCCCCTCCTCGTACTCGTTACCGCAACCCACGGGGAGGGTCTCAGCAGCAGCAGCAGCAGCACCAGCACCAGCAGCAGCAGCAGCAGCATCGGCGGGGGCTGCCCCCCCCTCGCTAAAGCTCCGCTGCCACCGCAACTTCCGCGCGCCTGCGGAAGGGGCGTCGGTTTCTGCCGCGGCGGTGAGGTTTCCGGCGGCAAGCGCGCTGCGCGAGGGGCGGCCTCGAGCGCGGCACGTCTCTTCCTCCCACTTGCGCAGCCGCGCCAGCCATTGCGCATCGCCGCCGCTTCCGCCACCGCCGCTTCCGCCCCCCCCGTCGCTGTCTCCGCGCGGCATCTGTAACACGGCGTGTCCGCTGTGCGGGCGGGCGCGCAGAGAGGGCGCCGATGGTTTGCTGGCGGCGACCGCCGGGTGTGGCGGGGAAGAGAGGATTAGGGGCGTACGGACGATGCGGTGATGAGCTGGGGGGGTGGCGGCGGCGGAGGAGCGGCTGCGGGGGAAGGAGCTGGCGGAAGCACTACTAGTGGGGCGCGGATCGAGGGCGGGGAGTGCGGCTGGATGGAGCTTGGTGGGGGGGAGTTGGGAGGTGTGGAAAACGGCGGGGTCATCGCCGGGCGGGAGAGAGGAGACCATTCTTTGGGCTAACGACGCATGGTAGTTGGTAGAGAAAGCGGTACTCTGGTTGTTTGCTACGCTGATTTGGCGTTCCATCGACGTCATGGTTTCTGACGCTAAGAATTTTAACTACCTCTTGCGATTACCGCTCGTGCTACTACCGCTCGCACACGTCCGGAACGGGATCTGAGCACAGCCGGACGTTGGGTTGGGTGCTCGACCGTTCGCGCAAGTTGGTGTCGGCGCGGCGGCAGGCAGCCCGTCGTTGTCGCTATGCGTGGATCACCAAGGGAATTACAGTCGCGGATCGTGCAAGTTAGCGGTTGTGCATGGGGCGGGGAATGCGCCTGAGAGCAGATTAGACTAGTAACTAACGACTGCCAGAATAATAACGGTGATGGCTGAATTGCACTAGTGGCTCCATTTCTGCTGAGCACCTGCTGCTGCTGCTGTTGCTGTTTTTCTTTCTGGCTTGCTCGTCGTTTCGCCTCAGGCATGGGCTTCCTTTTCCGCATTTCGTCGCATGCTATGCTGCCCCTTGTCCCCTGCAAAAGCAGCTCCCATTCGAAACGGCATTTGCTCGGGCAGATTGTTCGCACATTTCATCTGAAAGGACAGGAACTTGCTCTGGTGATTTGTTTTTTGTTGCGTGGAGTAAACGGGAAGCCAGGCCACAAGCTGTAGTCCGGGCAGGTCCCACGACACGGAAACAGGGGCTTGGTCCAACTTGCGACTTGGTAACAAAAAATCGTCAACGTGCAAACGTTTCCATCGCAAGTCGTTGTTTGGATGTCGTGGAGGGGAAGGAGATATTTGATTGGAGAATGGGGAGGAATGAAAAGAGGTGGCATACAGTACAGAACAGCCCGTTCGAATTTCGGTTTCTGTTGAAAGAGCCGCGTCGCATGCCGATGGTCGGCTGCACCATCCTCCCTTCCCTGGTTGTCTTGGATGGATTCACCGAAGCAGAGATGTTGGGGAGGGTCCGTGTCGGTGAGTGGGCCAGACTTGTGATGACTGGTGCTTGTAACACAAACAATAACTATACTTCATATGGGATTATCATTTCCAAAAACTACTTCTCCAAGCTTGACTACAAGTGCGTGCAGCTAAGTCATGCATTAGTTGGCACATTGCCAGCCATCTGGATTACATTGTACTTGGTGGTTGCACCCATGGCTTTCAACCATTCCACCGCTCCCCCACTAGCCTCCACTAGCAGTGTGCATGTGCCAATTTTGCCAGGAAGCTGTTGGTCAAACCACTGCAGCAACTGCTGAGCTAGAGCAGGAGACGAAGCTCGAAAGATCTTGAAGCCACCGTACCCCTCTTGGTAGCATGCCAATCCGAGCACTCTAAAATCATCCTCATCAGTAACACTGGAGCACCTGCACTTGGCATTGCTGTTTTCAATCCCCCCCACACCTTCACACTGCGCTCTTGATACTGCACCACAGCCTCCTGCATCCCTTGTTGCCACAGCCTTGGCCAGCAGGGTACCCTTAAGTGCTCTCATCCGCTGTAACAATCCCAGTGGTAACCCCATTTCCCGCTCCACCTGCTCCTCCTCCCCTGCCTCAATCCCCCCCACGGTCACTCTCTCACACCCTGAATCCTTCCAACCCCCCAGCTGTCTGTCTGGCCCTGTCCCTTCTTCCAACGACCGCCCTTCACAGCACAGCATGCTCGCTCTGCCCCCTCCACATCGGCCATTTTCTCCTGCACATGATTCCCCCTCGCATTCAAGGCTCACCGCTCTAGCCTGCTTCTCGTTACACGATACAGGATGCTCTTGGGGAAGCGATGCGAGTCTTTCCCAGGAAATTTGAAGGCAGGTGCCGGAATGAAGAGGCGAGAGTCCAAGGTGGGAGTAGAGGCGGATGGCGGCGGTGTTGGAGGGGAACACGTTGAGGCGCCACTGCCCGCACCCTGCTGCTGCCAGCCTCGCTGCAACCGCCCTCATCAGCTTCGTCCCCATGCCTTGCCTGCGCCTTCCTGGCACTCGAAAATGACAAGATCGAGGGCGCCGCCCAAAATACCAGGATCAGAAATACGGAGTAGGTATACAGTAGGTACGGCATAGGTACGTCTGCTACGGAGTAGCCTTGCTATACGAACAGCTATACCTAAAATATAGGAGAGATCCACATTTTTGTGACGCGGGAGTGAGCGAGGAGAGAGTGGGGGAATGGAGGGGAATTGAGGCAACGGGGACGCGACGCGACACTGCAGGATGCACGGATGCCATTTTTTCTCCCTTCATCGGAAAGGCGTGGCCTAGCAGGCTGACGTGCGAGCTACTATTTGATAAGCGCAGCAGCAGGCACTAGTAATACAGCTGCAGCGTGACGGCGGCGCAGCAGCGGGACGACGTACCAGGATGGACGACGAGGTGGCGAATGAACCCCGTGTCCCTCAGCGTCTCCACGTACACGTACGCGAGAGGAGCACAGTCGCTCTTCGCAACGCTCTCACCGTCGCCGCCTGCCAACCCGTCTCCGCCACTGGCCGCGAGGAAATACGTCGACGGCGCGAGATCTCGCTGCCACGTGTCGAAGGGCAGTAGCAGGGACGCGGGCAGCGACAGTTCCGGAAAGAAGGTCACGTAGTGCTCGTAATCGTCGGCTGTGGCCGGACGAAGCTCGAGTGAACATTCCGTGCCGGCTCTGCTCTCACTCTCACCGCCTCCGCGACCCATTGCCGCGTTGCTTGGGACCCCCTTGACCAAACAAGGCCTGCGAGAAATGGAATGTGGGACTAACAGACAGGTTACCAGAAAGTGCAAGGTGGAAGTAAACTTTGGACTATGTGACACAGGACAAGCGAAGGTAGTGCTGCTGCTCCATATCAATTCAGGGAGGATTCCGGAGCGAGTGTCAGACTCGAAGCAGACCCGCGGTCGAAGGAGCCGCGGGTTGTAAGAACATAACAGCGGGTCTTATATTCTTGACGGTGCAGCCGCTGCACAGTCGTGAACCGTCGCAAAAGGTAGGTTGCGACTACAGTGGCCGAAAAATTCGAATCCACCAGAAAGTTGCGAATTTTTATCGGTGGAAGTCCATTTGCGCGAAAATTTTAGTTGTTCGGTTTGTCAGCTAACTGGCTGGAGCCGTCAGTTTTTCGCAAGACCCGAGGCAATTTTTTCCAGCCTCGGATCTTAGAGCACAACCCGAGGGTCTGACACTCGCTCCAGAATTACCCTCAGCGGGGAACGTGATGATCAAACCAAGCAAGCCTGCGAGAACCAACAAAAACAAAGAATGCAGGTTCCGTACAATGGGATCGTCCCTTCACAATGTGTTGCAGTAGGAGTTGACATACTGATCATATGCGAGAAGTGCAACCAGGATAAGCGCAAATATTCGCAAATCGAGGGTAAATCACGGGCCAATTATTCGCTTCATGCACTAAAAGATGCCCGAGTTTGCTTTTATCGAATATGATTTGTATACAGCAACAAAGTCGCATAATGTATCGAGGGAAGTAAGGTTGCAGACAAAGGTGCGGGAAAGTCTACCTGAGAAAACACACACATTGTATTTTTGGCTTCGGGTTTCCCTACTGGTCAGTATTGGCCGGAAAATACACTCCCAGTCCACGCTGGCATAACATGTGATGCTCATTGCCCTGGAGAATTCCTCCTGTCTCCACTGCTTCCCCCCGCTCCCCCGCTTCCCCCAAATCATGGCACGTACGGCCAAGAGCAACACGACAGCTCTGCGTTCAGGGGAAAGATTTTCCCCTAGGGACTTCCGCTCCGCCGCACGGTTGTGCCCTGAGGAGCAACGCAGGCACGCAACCCCGCGTGCTGGCGGAAGGGCAGCCCGTGTGAGGACCTTTCGTGAATCGTAGCGAGAGTTGCCCTTGCGTGGGAGAGCCGTTCGTGATTCGTCGCGAGCGGTGGTACTGTAACGCTAGGGCTAGGATGCTGCTGCTGCCCAAACCATCCAATCCGATCTCGAGGCCCTCTCCATTCGATCCGTTAGCTCCTCCTGCTCTGACTTGCTCTGACAGTTCACATAATAACACTAGGCATAGCTTGCCAACCCCACTCTCCGCTCTCGCGGCTACCTTGATCGCCGCTGCTGATTGAAGCTCGAAGCTCGAAACCATCACAGGACAGGAGCGCACGACTAGTTTTGCTAACCTCATACGAATCTTGCTAGCCTGATTCCGCGGTTCGTCCGGTATGACAGTGGAGGAGCCCGTGTTCGTGCTCCGCACGGATCGCGACGGTCCGGGCGATGCAGCGGAGGGATTCACGGGGAGAGATGGGCGCACTCCCGGCGTCGACAGTAGCGTCAGCGGCGCTGGTTCCCGCGGCACCGACACGAAACACACTAAGAGACTATCTCGCCAGCAGTCCCGCAGTCCGCGCAATCGCTCGTTAAAACTTCTCGCTTCCGCGGGATCTTCTTCCGCCGCTTCCATATCCTCCGCGTCTCCCTCTCTCGCCCACTCCACCACCCTTACCATTGGCCCGCCTTCCCCCGGTGTCTCCTCCGCTTCCCCTTCCCGGGGGAAGAACTACCCCCGCGCCACACTCGGCGGAGGGTTTGGCGGACGCAACTCCCCTTCCGCCGGCCGCCCCCGCCCGTTCTCCGCGCACGCGGCGCCGGGAAGCTCGCCGAAGCCGCCGCTGTCGCCGTCAGTGGCGGCATCGGGGGACAGCCCGCCGGGCGAGTGGGAGCTGATGTGGCGCGACGCCTTGACGCGCACCGGCGCGAGCGCGCGGGGGTTGGTGGCCCCGCTGCAGCGTGGAGTGGAGGAGGCCCCCGCGCGCATCCAGCGGGGAGTGGTGGACGGCGCAGTGGCGATCGGCGGAGCGGCGAATGCGGTGAAGGTCCGCGCGCAGGTGAGATGCGGGGCGAGTGTACGCGCAGGTGAGGCATGAGACGCGGACGAGCACAGGGGAGGAGGGTGGTAGATAGAGGGCTGGTTGTGCGAACGTAGGGAAGGAAGAGGGGGTTGTGGAGGCTTGGATTCGTGTAGAGCGACGGTGGCGATCGAGCGCGGAGGACGAGATTCTTGTTATCGCAACGACACAGTCGCAGGAGTACATATGGAGCACCGCAGTTGCTTGAGTGGCCACTTTCAAGTCGACTCAAACGCAGTTGCTTGACTGGACATGGCATGGCTCGCTATTGCCCGCCGTCCCACGCATCTTAAAGCCCCCATCTCATAATTACTAGAGCAGGCAAACTCTGATTGGTAGGCGAGGTTGAAAAATAATGACGAAAACGAAACGCAAGTGGCGATAGCATTTTGTTTCGGCAAAACTCCCGCCCCAAAAACAGGTTTGGGGCAGATTGGCTCGCGATAGGTTTTGCACATCAATCTAGAGGTTCGTTTTACATCGGACGGTGCAGAATCCGATTTCCCTGCACAACCACTTTCCACTTCGTTTTCAGCTCAGCGGTCGATTTGATCTTCCACTCCCTGAACCGTCGGATCCGAACTTCTAGTCGATCGAATGGTCCAACATCCCTGTTCTTCCGTGAACTTCTTCATTCTCATATTTCACTGCTGGTTTTACGATTGGTCTCTCCCCCCAGCAAGAAACACTGTCCGCGGCAATTCCTTGCCTGGGTACCAAGCATTTTACACTTGGTCGGATCCTAGAATGATGAGAATCGGGCTTTAAACACGTAACCGCTTCTTAGGATAGATTATATCCACGCAGCTGTTATGGTACCTCAAGAGTCAGGCCTTAACTTGTGCTTGCTTGTAAGGAATCACACCGAGACCAGTCGTTATGAAGCATCGTCCGTCGCCCACCCCTCGCGTCGTCCCTATCCCGAGACTCCGATGCCCTCCTGAGCTCGTCTTTGCACCTCGTCGCCCGTCTCCCTCCCCACCCGTTCCCCCTTCCCCCCCCCGGCCTCTCTTCCCCTTCCACACAAATAGAGCAACATATACTCACACATACTCATACACACGCACACCCCTTCCCCCCTCCCCCTCCCCTCCCCTTCCCCGCCTCCCCCTCCGTCCCCTTCGTCTCTCCCTGTCCGCGCGCCCCGCGCTCCTCCCCCGGCCGTTCCGTGCACCTCCCCGCAGGCGATGGCGGGCGCGGCGCTGGGGCTGCTGGACCGCCTGGACGGGGACCGCCTGCACTGCCCGCGCTGCAAGGGCTCGGGGCTGCTCTCGCCCGCGCACGCCTGGTCGCGCCTGCTGCGCCCGCCGCCCTCCGCCACCAACGAGCCCTGCTGGTTCTGCCAAGGGTCAGTCGCTCCCCGTGCCCCCCGTGCCCCCCGTGCCCCCCGTGCCCCCCGTGCCCCCCGTGCCCCCTGTGCTCCCCGTGCTCCCCGTGCTCCCCTTGCTCTCCCTGCTCCGTGCTCCCCTTGCTCTCCCTGCTCCGTGCTCCCCGCGCTTCCCCTCCTTCCCCCACCTTCTCCTTCACCCCATTGTTGCCCCTCTCCTGCCGTTTTCTCGCTCACCGCGCGAAAGCACACATGGATGCACTCGCACACTCCTCTCCATGCGTTTCGAATCATCATTTGACCACCGTTGCCTCCTCCCCTGACATTCACCTGCCATCCTTCCTTTCCTCCCTGCCCCTGCCCCTGCCCCTGCCCCTGCCCCTGCCCCTGCCTTTGCCTCTGTCTCCACCTGTGCCCTGTACCCCCCCCAGCATCGGCGTGATGCCGATATTCGACCTGTCAGGCTTCCTCGTGGCGCGCTGCCCGCCCCTCGTGTCCCCCCGCCACGGCTCCTCCGCCACCGCCTCATCCCTGCGCTTCTCGTCCTTCCAGCTCTTCCTCGGCAAGTTCCCTGGCACACGCACGCGCCTCATTACCTCGCGCCTCCCCCGCATGCTGCGCCACGCGATCTTCACGCCGGCGCTTGGCCCCTTCTGCAACCCCACCCAGGACGAGGCAGTCCGCGCCTTCTGCTCCCGGGAAGACCCCTCCGCCCCCCCCTCCTCCGCCTCTTCCTCTTCCTCCTCATCCGAGTCTCCTGCTGCAAGGACGGCCGCAGCAGCTGCAGCCACAGCAGCAGCAGCAGCAGCCGGAGCATCTCCTGCTGGTGCTGGTGGTGGCGTTTCCCCTCTGGGCTCTGCTCCTTCGTTGCACGACTCCCAAGATTTGTCCCCCAAGGCGAGTCCCAGGCACGGCAAGTGGCAGCAGCAGCGGCAGCAGGAGCAGCAGAGCAGGGCAGGGCAGCAGGCGCAGGAGCAGCAGAGGGAGCAGCGGCGGCAGCAGAGAGAGGGGGAAGGGAGAGGCGGAGGGGGGTGCAGCGGAGGGAGAAGTAGAGGCAGGAGAGGAGGCAGTGCGGGAAGGCTAGGCAGCAGCCAAACAAGTCCTCAACCAATCCCTTCCAACAGTAGCAGTAACAGTAACAGTAACAGCAGCAACAACAGTGGCAGCAGTGGCAGCGGTACCATCACTCCAGCCAGTGGAGACCAGACTGCCAGATTTCGCTCCTCTGCAGCCAACAGCCCCAGCGGCGAAACGAGCAGCCTATGGGGTCAACTCTCCTCCCCTGTGCGCTCCGCCACCCCTGGGACTGCCCTCCCCCCTGGCTTGCCTCACACATCTACCACCTCCGCCACCGCTCCTGCAGGGACACTGCAGAGCGGCGCAGCAGGGGGAGGAGCAGGGGATGGGGCCGGGGTAGATGAGGAGACGGCGGAAGGTATGGGTGAGGTGTGGGTAGGGGTTGGGGAGTTTGGGCAGCAGAGTCCGCGCTCGCGGTCGCCGCGGAGGGAGAGGAATAAGGTCAGGGAGAAGGCGGAGCGGCAGGCGGTGGAGCGGGCACGGGTGCTGCAGCGGACCAGCAGTGGGAGGGGCGGCAGGGGGGGGATCAACGAGGCAGCAGAGGCGCTGGAAGCTGACTCGCAAGGCGGAGCGAGTGAGTCGCTTAGGGTGATGAAATGTGGTGGGTGGGTTGTTCTGTTCTGTGTGTGTGTGTGGGCTTCTTCTTGTGTGCCTGGTTGCCTGCTTGGTCGGGACTGCCTCGCTCCCAGAGTTCTTGGTCTGCCTTTGTCCTATGCATTCCTTTTCATCCTCCCTTAATGCTCTTGAATGCTTTGCTGCCCCTCAACTCTTCCTTCCTGGGCCTTTCCTCTGTGTTCTGTTGTTGGTCTGGCAGACGACCTGTGGTGGATAGTGGGTGCGCGCATACGTGCTGCGGGCTCCTCATTCGCTCCATCTATGGACTTCCCTTCCTCCCACTCTGCCACCTTCAGCCTCGTTCCCTCATCACCTAGAACCAAGCAGCCAAGCAATCCTGACAGCAAGAAGTCATCCTAGTAATGTGCTCTCTAACATCCTCGTAAAACCTAGTTGCGGATGTGTGCACTTATGTAGTGGAGTTTATATTGTTGTGTTCGTTGGCATGATTTTACAGATGTTACTACATCACATTGATACATCACAGGTACATAGAGTGAAGTGGCCTTATCTCAGTACAGCTAATGGTAGGCTGTACAAACATTCCCTCTTATGGATTTACGGCAATTATTGTCGCCCAGAGAAGGGCCATCCAAATGGCCTTCAAATAGCAACCTTCTTGTAACGAATGTGTCAACTACAACACTTATGAATTTCGGCGTGCAAAATATCGACAGGAAATTCAGAGTACGTCGAAGTGAGAGAAGGCGGGAGGGACGGGTGTCTAGTAAAGCTGGTACAGTAGTTGCATGTTGGAAGTGGTTCAGTCGAAGTATGTGTGGACATTTCAGCTCAAATCACACAATATTTCAGGCAGGAAAGCCTAAAAGCCAGCAGTGAAGTCCTTGATCTCAGTCAATGTAATAGCCTGAGATGGATAAATGGGAAAACGACAGAATGAACCAGGGAGTATGGTTAGTGAAAAACGTGGCAAAAAAAAACAGAAACACAAAACAGCAATCAGGACTGCAATGAGGCAGTAAGGGCACAGGCAGGGTGTGAAAGAGGCCAACCTGCTCTCTGCCAGCGAAGTCATTGTCCTCTGTGAGGAAGAGCATGCAGTGGCATTCCTTCCTGCAAACACAATGTCGAGAGACCACAGGAGATGGGTCTTAATTAACTTGGATGGCCCCGTAAAATTACCAGCCAGTGCACAGGCACCAGCTCATCAATGGCAACATTAGACTGCACAATGCGTAGATTCCACACATGAGTAGAAATCGATCAGGCACTACAATCCAGCAACCATGATTCCACTCACCTCTCCCTCATGGGCACACATGGGCAATTCCAAAAACCTTGATGCGCCTCCGCCACCTTGTCGTCGTAGTGCCTGCACACCAGGGTCGGGAAATTAATAACGACAATCCTTAGCACTGGACCTAGCAGACAGCTGATGGCATGGAGGGGAAATGCGCATAGATTCTACGGGACTCCACAATTATGCGACTGGATTAAAAGGTAGTATACAAAACGGAGGGCGACTCCACAACACGAGCGGACACGCACCTGCAAGGACACAACGGAGCTCCGAGAGTGTCCTTGTGCTCCGCCAATCCCTACAAAAAAATGGCAGCGGACAAAGTCCGGGAGTCGAGCATTAATTTGCCATCTTGATTTTTACGAAACGAACCAGGCAAAGCATTAAGACTTCACAGGTAACCACCCGTTCAGCTGTCCACAAACATCGCCCGTAACACACGAGCAACCACCAATCAAAGATAGATTATCGTGAAGTCCCTCGGCTGGCACAATTCGTACCTTGATCACCACAGACGTGACACCCTTGTCAACGCAGAAGTATGTGCCCGTGCGTCGCGCGTACTGCTCGCTGAACTTCCGCATAATCTCCAACGCGTGGTCCTCCGGACTCACGTCCACTGCCAGAAACACAGAATACGAGAGTTTCTAGGATGAGTAATCACTAAGCAATCCAGCAAGCGGGGTGGTAACATCTCGCATAGAATATAAACCGGCTTTTGGCATTTCTGCTGCTTCATAATCAGCAGGACTAAGCTCTTCTAGACTAAGCCAGCAGCGATGGCTCATAGGATGAAGAAGCGGAGGCACCCAGGCAACAAGAATGCTTCAGAAGAAGTGCAAAATCGACGCAAATATATTCAGATAAGCACTCCCTTAACATCATTAGAGCTGACCATTTGCTCTGACGGTCAAAGACGGCCGAACGCTCCTGGTAGCCAACCCTCTGCTTCTGACAGATAGAGACGACCCGGCGAGAAAGCTGGAGGAAGCCGCCAATTGGTGAGTCGCGTGCGCAGCGAAGGCCATCGTGGAATATATGACGTGGACTAACGAGGGCAAGGACAACTGCTGGATGTGGAGCGGAGCGAGCAGAAAACGAAGAGCAGCAAGACCTCGGAGAACAGGCTGGTCAGATAGAGTGACTGAAGGAAGGTAGAGGACAGATGGCGGCTCTTAGGGAACACCAGGGGAAAGAAAGCCTGAAGGAAGGGAGGGGCTGCGCGGGTCTTGACACGCTCGGCGGAAAGAATCGCGCAAGACGGAGACCACATGTGAGTGCGCGCAAGTTTCGGATGGGGTCTCGCGAAGGTCAGCAGGACGTGGCGAACGCTGCTGGTTCGTCGGGAGGCTTCGCGAATGCATCGCAGAAGATTTGGGTCCCCAGATGCTTTTCCTGCCACGAACCGGTGGTGCAGGTTGGCTCTTGACGAATCGTGTCCACCGAATGCAGATGGCTGAACTGGCACGCGAGGGTGATTGCGTGGCTGAATCACACCATGCTTTGCCTCCAGGTGGATGAAGCCAACGTGTTCCCTGCCCGAGCACGACAGCTCCTGGCAGAAAGACGCATTCTCGGTAAAATCACGTGCATGCAAGATGCATCAATACTGCATACCGTAACACGGTACCCATCAACTTGTTTGTGGAAGACTCCCTCCCTCACATTTTGTAATCACACGCTGTTATGGTAGCGCGACACTTCTTTTGCGTGGTATATATTCCTGGAGTGAAACACGCACCTCGCATATCGAACCTACAGAACAAAGGTGACATGCCTTTTATGGAGTCGCCAAACTAAACTTGGCAACTGAACTGGATCGCTCACATTGGCCAGCTGCCCGCATCCATAACAAGCAACAAAAAGCTAGCCCCCCTCTCACCAGACCAGCATCATACAGCCACCACCACCACCACATACAGTCAGTCACAGCTCGAGCAAGGCCGGCCGGTGGGCTCTGAGCTTCTCGGCATCAATAATAGAACAAAGCGCGGCCACCGTGGTCTCCAGCTGCCCCTCGGCATTCACCACCACGTAGTCAAACTCTGCCCGCCGTGCCAGCTCCTCGCGGGCCGTGCCCACGCGCACGAGCAGCTTCTCCAAAGGCTCACTCTTCCGGCGCACCAGGCGCTGCACCAAGGCGTGCTCTGTCTCGGCCACGAGGAAGACAAAGATGGCGGACGACCCGAGGAGGGTGCGCATGGTGGCGGCTCCCTGCACGTCTATTCGTAGCACCACGTCCGTGCCGCGGGCTAGTGAGTCTCGGACCTGGAGGGATGGGCAGGGAGGAGAAGGCAATAACCGTTTCACATTCTCTCCACATAATCAGGAGCCAATCGTCGCTCCAGTCATCAGCCCTCACCCCCTGAAATTTCCTAACACTAAGCCTTCCGCAACAAGCTCTCACCTGTACCGCCCCTGCATCAATCTAACCCAAATTCGCCTGGAAAGTCGCTCCTCTATTGACCAAGGGACACCATCACAGCTCACCAGCCCACCTTGCCCTTGCCACACACACAGCATCACATCACACCCCTCCCTCACCGCACCTGTTTCTTGGGAATGCCCTTGTAGTCGCCGTACACGACAGCGTGCTCCAGCAGCTCCCCCGTGTCCCGCATGGCCTCAAACTCCTCGCGCGACACGAAGATGTAGTCCACCCCGTCCACTTCGCCTGCTCTGCGCTGCCGTGACGTGGCTGTCACCACGAAGTGCACATCGGGGCGAGCTTCCTGCAGGCACTGGTGATGGCAGACACGCCGCCATGCATGTCGGGGAGAGGGAATGTGAGGAAAGGGAATGTCGGCGAGGGGTCATAGCAGGACATGCCACGAACTTCATGCTGGAAGAGGGAGTGGGAAGGGAAGAGAAAGAGAGGGAGTAAGACCGGGAGGAAAAGGGCGAGAGGAAAAAACGGTTTCGCAGGGGGGAGAAGCAAGGGAGCGGAAGGAAGTGGAGTGAACATGGGGGGGGGAGAGAGGGAGGGGGGGTGGAGGGAGAGAGGGGATGGTGGTGCGAGGTGTGTAAGAGGCAGTCCGTGACCGGGAGTGTAGGGGCGGAGGATACCTTGATGACGGCGTCTTTCCCCACGCCACTGGGCCCGCTGATCACCACCACCAGCGGCTGTGGCGCCGGCACAACCGCCTCTCTGCTCAGAGGCCCCCCCAGCCCTTGCTCCAGCGCCGCCAGCACCGCTGCCTGCCACGCGGGGGCACAGCAGGCGCGGGGGAGAAGGGAGGTAAGGGGACGAAGGGGAATTACGTTGGGGGAGCGGAACAGAAAGAGGGGGAGGAGGGCAGACATAAGCCGCGAGACAGGGCATTTTCAGCCGAATTCTTAAGGCCTTGAGGGATTCCGCGCGCTTGAATAATCTACTCACTGCGTAGCATACCTCAGTGGCATCAATACCACCGTCCTCGCCTCTCTCGCAATCACCTGTCGACCCCACCCAACCACTTCCCCCATCCTCCGCGGCCCTCTCCGCCCCCCTCTCCACTTGCGCCACCTCCCCCTCCTGCTCCCGCTGCACCACCGCGGACGTCGCGACAGACCCCACTCCCCGTCTCGACTCCCCTGCCGCCCGTCCCTGCCCTTCGTGCCAGCAGGGACGGCTGTAGCTCGTCCCACAACGCGCTACAACCGCGCCGCCGCTCTCTCCTCGATCCGCTGCAAACAGCGCGATGCTGCTGCTTCCTCCGGATAGCCGAACTCTATCGAGCGGCTTCAACGAGGGAGATGCATACAGGGAGTTGGCGTCTCCGCAGCTGAGGCGAGACGGTCCTTGACTGCCGCTACTAGCGGCTGCAGCCGTCCCTTGGGACGCACATGCCGGCACGATGCACGCTGCTCCTGCTGTTGATGGTCGTCGAGGTGTTGAGAGCGGGCGAAGCGCGGGAGGCTCGACTAGCGAGAGGGTTCGAGACAGCGACGACGCGCGAGCAGTCGCGAAGCACGCGCGCGCGAAGATGGCAGTGGCCGGCAGATACGCTCCGTGAGGCAGCTGCAGCGGCCGGAGGAGGCGCGCCATGGACACAGCAGAGAGACGAGAGACTGCAGTAGACTGGATTAAGGGAAATGATCAGAAAGGGTCCTCGCTCTGCCAGGGGTGTGAGCAAAAAGGGTCCGTCTACCTCCGAACCTGTAATACACTCCGATTTTTTTGTAGTACTTACCAGTAAAAGTTTATCAACGAAAATGTAAAAGCATAAAACCCATTTGGGACCGAATTCCGTTCGAGATGGCATCAACCCTAAACACGGAGCTCTCTTGCGATTTTAGGGTTGATTCCACCTGGATTCGCATGTGAGGGCCCTACGGGTTTTAGTTTTTTTTTAAGCCCTAATACACTGTTCGTATAAATGTCCCGCCTCACAGGGTCAAGATACGACGCGCCCCACAAACCTGAGCTGTGTCGCGAACCAGAAATATTGATGTGTTGTACGACGAAGGCGATGTATCACAGGTTCGGAGACAAGGTCGCGGTGTCAGAAACCCAGTCACTAACCACTGGGTTAAAAGGGCTTATTGAATAGCGGGTAAGTGCGCCCATAGCCCCCCAGGCTCTGCACCTGTGGCCCTTCCCCGAGGATCTCAAGGGCAACCCCAGCGGGTCACTCAACACCCCCCCCCCCGCTGGGATAGGTGGAAGACACAAGCGCCTCTGCAGCGCTGGCACTGGGAGTTGAACCCAAGACCTTTGGCTCTGATGTACCATGTCAGAAACCCAGTCACTAACCACTGGGTTAAAAGGGCTTATTGAATAGCGGGTAAGTGCGCCCATAGCCCCCCAGGCTCTGCACCTGTGGCCCTTCCCCGAGGATCTCAAGGGCAACCCCAGCGGGTCACTCAACACGCGGGGCAGAAAGTTGCCGGACCTTTTTTGCTCGAGCCTCTGGCAGGGCGAGGACCCTTTTTATCATTTCCCCTGGATAAACAGGTGATTTTCTGTGATGTGATGTCTGGCGAACACTGCTTTGTTCTGGTCTGCTGGGTTGCCTGGGGGGGATGGTGGTTTAGGGAGTGTCCAGCAGGTACGTTTTTTGTCAAAACCCCACCCAACCGTTTTAGATTCGCTATCGATCCTTCTGATCCGTGAGGCACCTCACCCAACCGCAATCAAACGTACGCGCTGGACACACCCTTAGCAGGACACAGCCTTCCAAGGAAGAACATATGTGGAAATATTTGTTCATGCAATTTTGTGTATTAAAAGAAACTCGATCCCTTAGCGCGTACATCCTCTCCCGTCAAGGCCATCTGGTCCTCGAGTTCAGGCAGGACTCACGAGAGTCTCGAACATCACTGGTGAGCTTTCAGCGTCGAGGTTGGATTCAGCTCTCCCACTTGTTGCTCCTCCATTCGCTGAGCTTCCTCCATGGATTTCCCACCGGGTCGAAACACACATAGCTGGCCATCATGCGCCTCGTGCCGCCATGGCCCGGAACACAGCTGGACTGCCTCCTGCTGTGCCTGCCCCGCCTGGACGCATCCCCTCGCTCTCCTAGGTGTTCCACCACCGAGCCTTTTTTCCACCATCACAGCTTCCTCTTCGAATCATTGTTCCATCGCATTACACATTCTCGCTGCTTCTCCTGCTGGACGTACCAGTTGCTTCCCCACCCCTCGTCGTCGACTTCCTCTTTCGATCTGTAGTGGTTCCGATCCAGTTGAACCTAGGCGCCATGGCTTCCGCCGCCGAGGATTGTGCTGTCGCCGCTGATCGCTGTCCGATAGACTCGCTGCCTGACGATTTTCTCGTCATGGTGTTCCGTCGTCTCGTGCCAAGACCGCCTCCTTCGTCCGAATCTTCTATAGGCACACCGCCACGGCTCCCACGCAATCGCCTTCTTCCAACGCCACTTCCTCCTCCTCACAAAGCTCTTTCCGCTTCGTGTGTCGCCGCTGGCGCGACCTCACGTGGCGTGCGGTCACGTCTCTCGACCTGACGGGCCGTCGGAGAATCTCAGCGTCTCAGCTCGTTGCCGCCGTTACGCGCACGCCACGCCTTTAGTCGCTCCGGATCGAGTGTTCCGCGATAAATCCCTTGACGGACGCGATGATTCTGGAGATCGCTGTCGCATGCCCCCGGCTTGTGCGCCTTGCGCTGCACTTTGACCCGCCCGCTTTGCAACATATAGAGAGTACGTTCCGAAGGATTGGCCGCCTCGAAAGCATTTCTCAAGGGCTTGACTCCCTTTTCCACGTCTGTAGGCGGCTGGAGGATCTTTCGCTCGACTGCCCGCACTCCATCGTCGCTTTTCCTGGAAGCATTTCGAACTTGGCTGGGCTTGTACGTCTCAAGATACGCGTCGGAGATTCCGTGCGTCGCCTACCCGAAGAGATCGGCGCGCTTTCAACTCTGGAGCCCTTCTCCTTGGAGGCGCCTCGTCTCACATCGCTTCCCAGCAGCCTGGGCGACCTCTCCAAGCTGCGGGAGTTGGAGCTGCGGTGATGCATCAGCTTGACATCGGTACCTGAGACGATTGGGCAGCTCTTGACGGACGGACGTCTCTCACTTCTTAAAGGCCTCTGCCACTGCACTTCCTTAGACACTCAGAACCTCTGCCTGTCACGCCTTACCGGACTGCATGAGGACTTGGGAAATCTGACCAATTTGCGAAGGCTGCATCTGTCTTGCAGTGACCTCACTTACCTGCCGTCCTCTCTGTGTCAGCTCTCTCTTCTTAAAAACCTTCAACTCTACATATGCCTTAAGCTGGTTTCTTTGACTGAGGACATAGGCCAGTTGTCTGCTCGGATCTGAGTCTGTCCGTCTTGAGCTCTCTCTTCGAGCTTTCCAATTTCGATTGGCCAGCTGCAGCAGCTTCGATATCTTCAGCTCAATTCCTGTCGTTAGCTTGATGTGCTGCCGGAGTCTTTCTCGCAGCTTCGTGCCTTGGAGACTCTTGAGATTGTACACTGTCAACGGCTCTCGTCCCTCCCCCAAGAAATTCACCACCTGACGAGCCTTCAATTGCTGATTTTCTTCGAGTGCCGAGGAATCAATCAGCTGCCCACCAGTCTCGCTCTTTGTCCTTCTCTCCGATGCATCACCATTGGCTTTGACCTCTCTCATGTGTCAGAGGAGATTGAACACCTGGTGCAGGTGGATGATGTGGGGAGGATACGGTGGAGTGAAGCACCGCGGAGGTGTAGGAGGGGCAGGGTGCTGCTGAGTGAGGTGCTGCAGAGGATGGGGTGGTGAGGCAGGTTGTAGAGGAGACAAGCCAATGGCAACATGAAGAGGATAATGATGTTCGTTCAGACTGCTGAAGGTCATAATTTGTTTCTTTACATCCTATAGCCATTCTGTACGGCAAGTTCCTTGTCCCTGGTGGTGTTTTGGATGTGCAGAATCTCTTTGCATTAGTGGTTGTGCATCACATCAACATCATGTATGGTGGCATGTTCTGGGTGGAGTGGACATAGTGTTGTAGAGTGAGTTCAGGTTTGTCTTGCACGAGGCAACTTTTGAGTCGACTAAAAAATGCACCGAGTTCATATGCACATGCTAGTAATCATATTGGTACTTGGAGTGTTCTATTGGTAGCATCCTAAACCCATATTGTGTTAAAGCGAGAGTTTATAGTAGTGACCCTTGAGCAAATATTTTGCTTTGCGCCGGGCAGCAGCCCTGATTTTTTAGCTTGCATTGGGCAACGAAGTATAATTGCACCTGCGACGGGAATGTTATCGTGGCAGATCGTACAAGCACTGACATGCGCAGACAATAATTTCGACCAATCGGCAACCAGTCTTGGTTTAGAAGGAGTAGTGAACCCGGGTCCAACTTGAATTCAAGTTGGGCCCACTTGGTTCAACTTGCGGGCAGTGGGGACTGTGCGACTGGTCGCACACTATTTGCGACTTGAGTTTGTTCGCGCCAAATGCTGCACATGCCACGTTTCCCACCAAACGAAACAGGGTTTCCCGCCAACCAATCAAGTAACTGCTCATGCTCGCGCAGTTTCCCCTGCTCGCATGTCTCGACAGTGAACCCCTCTGCCCCAACCAGTTCGTGCCTTAGTCGCTATGACGAACTTCTGGGCCCTTTCAAGTTGGACCCGCCTTCATTATTTTTACCACTCGCTTTAACAGATTTGACCCGTATACCGAGATATATCAAAAGAATTCACATACGTACACTGTGTTTCTACGTCATCCACCAGCCATTTGCCTTTCAGCAGCCAAACTCCTGCACGGACCCGCACGAAGCCGCCGTGTACTACCACTTCTTTCAAATAGCGTGATACACAACGGGGGATGAAAGTAGACAAGTCTCTCCACACAAGCACATCCTGCACACAGGTACGCGCATCATGCAAACAGGCATGAAAACACAGGCATGCGCATCATGCCCACATCCACAAATGCAGACATGCACACATGCACACACAAACACATGCCAACATGCACACATCATGCAGACACGCACACATGCCCACATGCACAAGCATGCCACACAAGCACCCCTGCGTGCACACAGATCACCACATGCATGCATGCAGGCACATTGAATTCTGACATTCCATGGAGTCAGCTCAGCATGTTGCTGGGTGTGACTGTTTGTTCACTGGGTATCTAGGTGCCTCCTCTCCCTCCACCTCCACCCATTCCTCACCCTCCTCACACAGTCTCTCCCCCGCCACCAACACCTACTGCACCCCTCCACCACTCACCATCCCTCTCAACCCACCCTTCCCACTCAACTTACCGTCAGGGTCTGAGTTGAAGTCTGAAGCCCACCCTTCCCCCTCAACTTACTGTCGGGGTGTGAGTTGAAGTCTGAAGCCCACCATCCCACTCAACTCACGGTCCGGGTGCGAGTTGAAGTCTTAAGCCCACCTTCCCACTCAACTTAGAGTCGGGGTGTGAGTTGACGTCTGAAGCCCACCTTCCCACTCAATTTACAGTCGGGGTGCGAGTTGAAGTCTGAAAGCCCACCCTTCCCCCTCAACTTACAGTCGGGGTGTGAGTTGAACTAAAGCAGTGGCAGAAGGGGGAGGTGAAACCCTCAAGGTAGCATGAGGGCCAGACACAGGAGGTGGGCCGAAACCCCAAAGGTACGGCGATTGAGAGGCAAGAGAGGGGGGTTGAAACCCCCTGGTTAAGGCAAGCAAAAGGCAGAGGAGGGGGGTCCCTCTGCCCCTTGCTCGCCCTAACCTGGGAGTTTTAACCCCCCCCTCCCCCCCTGCCGCTCGCTGGCCATACCCTGGGGGTTCCAACCCGCCTCCCCTGCCTTGCTCTCACCCTACCATGGGTAATTTACCGCCCCTCCTCAGCTTACTCATGGGGTTTCAAGCCCCTCTTCTGCTATCCCTCTCACTCGACTCACACTGGGAATTTCAGCTCCCCTTTGCCCCTCTCTCAACTTACCCAGGGGATTCCAGCCCCCCTCCAGGTGAGCCATAGCCCCTCCTTCACTCAACTTACCAAAAAAGGGGGTTCTGCCCCCCTCCACTGCCCCTCACTCCAATTACCCCGGGGTGTTTCCGACTCCCCGTCTCGTCTCCCCCTCACTTTACTTACATTGGAGTCAGCAGACGGCCTCCGTAGCCCCTCACTCAACTTACTGCCAGAGGGGTTTCAGCCCCCCCACCTCTCCCGCTCACTTCACTTACACTGGCGTTTCCAAACGCCCTCCTCTGCCCCTCGATCAACTCACCCAGGGGGTCTCAGCCCCCCCCTTCTCCTCTCCCACTCACTCAACTTACATTGGAGTTTGCAGGTGCCCTCCGTTGCCCCTCACTCAACGTACCCCGGGGGGTGTCAGCCGCTCCTTTCCGTCTAGTCCCAACCCAACTTACATTGGGGTTTGCAGACGCCGCCCTTTGCACCAGCTCCAAGCCAGTTTTACCTCCCAACCCCCACCTCCCCCCTCCCAGCACTAGGAGCAGCATGCAGCCCACTCCCCTTGGGAAACAGCACCCCCCATGGCTGTGCCTTGTGGTGCAAGGAGTGGCAGTGGAAAATGCACGGGCGGCCCAAGACTCAAATCCCGCCGCATAACGTAGCAAGAGGGGACTCCCAACCAGAGCCGGCGCGCACGGCTCTGGCCGGTTCCATTATGCCTTAACGCCTGCTTTGTAACTTGAGCACCGACTGCCGTGCCACACATTTTCCACTGACCACGCCCGAACCACAAGCCAGAACCACAGTGGGTGCTGCGGCCCTAAGGAAGCGAGCTCCACACATGCTCCCATGCCCTCCTTCCCTCCCTTCCTCCTTACCTCCACCTACCAGGGTTTAGGAGAGCACCACGAGGGTTGAAGCAGCCGGGGAGTGAGCGGAGGGGGCGGGGTGGGTGGGTGGGGGGGGGTTGAGTGGGGGGACTCCTCTCCTTGTGCTGTGAGTGCTCCTGCCTTTGGCTTGCAGCGGCACACCTGGTGTCGGAGGAGAGGAGAGGGAGAGGGGGTGGTGAGTGCGTGGACTCCTTCGCTCCTGCTGTGAGGAGCAGCCACGCCTCTGCGTTGCCTCTGGAGCGCACACCTGGCAGGGAGAGGAGATGGAGGGAGAAGGGGTGGTGAGTGGGGTGACACCTCCTCTCCTTGTGCTGTGAGCAGCCATGCCCTCGCCTTGGGGGGGGCCTTGTCCTTTTCCTCCTCCTTGCAGCAGAAGAAAACCTGGTGGGGGGAGGAGACGGAGGGAGAGATGTGAAGCATGACCAACCACATCTCATGCCATGCCATGCCATGCCATACCATACCTCACCTGGTACCTCTCTCACACTAGCCTGCCCTCTAGCTACCTAGGGCCCCCTTCTGCTGCCTCCGCTTCCGCTACTGCTGTTGCTGCTGCGTCTGCTGCTGCTGCTGCTGCTGCTGCTGCTGCTGCTGCTGCTTCTTTCAAGTGCCATCAAGTGAGCTGCTAGGGGAGGGAAAGGGGAGGGGAGGAGAGCAGTGAGTGAAGAGCAGGATGAGAGAATGACAAGACTGGAAGGAACAAGACAAGGGAAGAAATGCGAACAAGCAGTTGCACAACAGAAAGCAGTGATGGGAAAAGGATAAGGGGAGAGGGGCGGGAGTGGGTAAGAGTGGGGCTTACCTCGTGTGCTGCACCCTCCACCCCATACTCTCCCTTAGCTGCCCGCTGCAGTGCTCCCTTCCTTCCCTTGCCCCCCCGCCCCTGCACGGCCACAAGGGGAGGGGCGCGGAGGAGCGTCGGTGTTGAGCCCCACGCCCCTCCCCACCACCTGCAACAGCCGCGCACACCCACAGGCAGTAGGCAGTCACGGACTACAGAGGTGAAGGCAGAATGTAAAGTAGTGAAACAAGGCGAGGGCGGACGAGAGACCACTGGTGCAGCTGCCCACAACCCACAGACCCAAGGGGAATACCTGGAAGGGGTGAGCGATTAAAGTCTCTATCTAGGTCTTCAGGGAAGCCTTACCTGAGGGCTGTACGTGTAGTGGCGGGTCTGTGAGTCAGAGGCTGCTGCTGCCAGTGGCCGATTTTAAGAGATGGCGGAAAGGGGGGGGGGGGGGGGGGGGGGGGGGTGGTGTGAGGGGGAGTGGGGACGGGGAGGGGTGAGGGGGGGGGGGGGGGGGGTGTGGTGGCGATGGGGGGTAATAATGAAGGAGGTGGGAGGGAGGACGGGCACTCATCTGAAATAATGCTCAAGGTGTTGCTGCCGTCATTGGTGCTGCTCCCTCCACCACTCCCCCCCAACTCACCCTTCCTTCCACCACTCCCC